GAACAAATCTGAGAGAGCTTTACCTGAGGTACATATATGTATATGTATCAAAGCAATCAGACTTGCAGTTTTTTTTAAAAAAAGGCGAAAATATCACTTTTTACCAAAAATTACAAAAATATTCACCAAAATTAGAGATTTAAAGATATCTCCACAAAATGAGCAAATCTGAAAGAGGTCCACATGTAGTACAATGTACATATATATGTAATATCAAAGCAATCAGACTCACGGTTTTTAACAAGAAGTCGAAAATATCAATTTTTTACCAAAAAAATTGAAGATATCATCATGAACTGAACAAATCTGAGAGAGGTCCACATGTAGTACCTATATATGTAATACATTTGTATCAAAGCAATTGGACTTATCACTTTTTAACAAAAAATAAATTTCAGAAAAAAACAGGAACCAATTTGCAAGTATCCTAGAGTGATAATTTTATATTAAAGTACTGGTAACACAGCAGCATTTATGGATGACCATATATTAGAATTCTCACCAATATTTTTTTGTTCAATATCTACTCCATAGTCAGTAATTTTCTTTCCCAGGTTCACCAACAATGCAAATCTTTCATCCGCAAGCGGACCTAACAACAACTCTAGCTCTCTCTTTTTATCTTTCATTTTAGTATGTTCATTTTTCAAAGATGCGAGAACTTCATCAGCGGCACCGCATAATATGTCACGTGGCTGAAATATACAATGAGAATTATTAATTAAGCAAGGTACATGCATCTATATTTTATAATGGTTTAACCCCATCCTCTAGAAATGTAAGAATCTTCTTTGCAGACATCTACCGTATTTATCCGGGTAAGCACCCAGGGTCCTGAACATGGAAAACCATAAATAATAAAAATCGACAGTAAGGAACCATTTGAATTAGGAAGACAAGCATGCATGAACTCAAAATGAATTAAAATGTCAGGAGTTAAACTGCGTAAAATTATTTCTGGTTTTGACAAATACTGGTTGAACAGCCATACAAGATTTAGCAGTAAAATTACGAAAGTTCATAGTTGTGTGAAAAAAAACAACTTCTCAGTACATTCATTGCCATCTTTGTGAAAGTCAAAACCCTCAACAACAAAATCATTACAGCTTCGTCTTGAAGTTTGTCGATGTCATCCGACACAATTTAGAATTAGCACATTTAATGCACGGATTTCGCTGTCTGTCAGCTTGGCACTTTTAATTCACGTCTAATCAGAATAAAGAGACAAGAAAAATGGGATCTCGGCAAACAACTCTGCTACAATGGCACACGATGCTTTTGTTTACCGTGTGGCAATCATCTTTAAGCATTCACTTTACTGATTGGATAAGAATGACATCACTACTAGTGTTTCATCGTAGGGGTCAACTCAACATTGCTTTCTTACCAGACTTACACGCTCATCAATCATGGTGAAAGTTACTATTCAGAAAGTTCCGGAGATTGGAATGTCTCACTATATGGATATCACAGTGGGCTTGAAATAGGAAAAATAAGTTTCAATAGAGAAACGCAATGGCTGGGATGAAAGATGGTAAAAAAGTTGCCAGTTTTCGATGTGAAATCCCAAGATGACATTGCGAAATTGCTGGCCCAAATTATGGATTTGCAAGCTGCTACTGAATACATGTATTTTATAGATCCAAAACAACATGATTTCAACCACTCTCCTGATTGCTACGGATTGCTACAATGTTTTCATTGTCAATGACGCTAAAGCCAAACATGTGCAACACTTGCTTCGCGGCTCTCTGTAAGATTTGCTTGAATCATTTCTTAGGAAGTCAACTGTACAACAACAACAAAAATAGTTTTTTGTTTTTTTGTTATTACAAGTGTGGAAAAAGACCCCTGGGCGTATGCCTCAATCTATTTATTATATCAAAATTTGGAGGGGGTGGAATTTGCCGGGGCATGGGCGCTTACCCGGATAAATATGGTAACATTTAAAGTACGTGTGTTGAGATTGGTAAATCAGTGACCACACATCATCTATTGAAAGCTGCTACAGAGATACCAAAATCAATGAGTAAAAACAAAGTCCAGAAAGGAATGCGTTAAACAAATTGTCATCTGATTTCATATACATTCAAATCATCTTTATGATAGCTTAGATCACTTTATGGAACACTCTACTTCTATTGTTTTATCAACAACAATAAAAAAAAATTAAAAAAAAAGATACATGTAATATACTCTTTAATGTTTCAAAGGATTGTACACAAGACACACAGAGGAATAGTGCCAATAATGCACAATGGTTGTGTATGTTTAATTTTGTATGTAAACAAAGCGGTGTATATATTGCATGGGACCCACCATCCAACATGGTGTATTATGACAATTACTACACGTTGACTTCTGCCATCTGAAAACCCTTTTTATTGACACAATGCAAGTCATTCATAAAACTGTTTCTATATAAAGATGCCTATCAGTATTACTATGTCCTGAAAATGTCACTTTCTCTCACCTTATAATTGTAACACACTACAAGAGGAACACATTGTTGCAAGGCTAAACTTCATAGAGGCATCAATTGCAAGTACTGAATAACATTACATTTTTTTACTGATTCAGTATGTGAAATATAGAGAAACAAATATTTGACTGATTCATCCTTTCAGTCAAACAGCAAAATAA